TAGCTGAAATTTAACAACGTGAACAGGTTTGCATATGACTTGATTGATGACAAAACACTGATTCAAGCAAAGATACAGGCACATTCCACCATCAGCTTATGAGGAGGAAGAAAAAGCACATCTTCGTCAGTTATTGATCATGAGAATTACAAGACCTTCACACAGTCCCTTTGCTTCCAATGTCGTCTTGGTTAGAAAGAAGGATTCAAGCATACTGTCTTTCCTGATATCCTTTATTTTATCAAATAAAATATACAACATGACTAAGTTAGTGATGTTGTATATTTTATTTGATAAAATAAAGGATATCAGGAAAGACAATACGCTTTTGTGTGGATTACCGGAGTAAAAACGAATAATGACTTCCATTATATAATGACCGGGGGTCATTTTTCAACGAAAGAAAATGACCCTCGCCCGAAGAAAACATGATTTTTGGTAGGGATATATTCCTACATATATTTTTTATATTTATACATTACTGTATAAAGCTTCTTCTGTTTACTTCAACTATTTTATATTTTATGTATACATGATATAAAGAGCGGTTCATATCATTGCAAAACATCATTAATCACTTCTGATTTCCTACTGTACATGTTAATGCTTATATATAAACCCTTGTATCTAACAATTTTTCTATTGTTAAATTTGTAAACATTGAAAGAGCTCACAAATCTTTTGGAAGTAACAGTATTCTGAATTTTGAGTGCCTTTTCTTTTTCATCCCTCTTCCCTCCCCCTTTTCTCTCTCCTTTCTCCATCTTTCCTTAATTTATCAAAAATTCTTTCACACATTTTCTTCCTTGTCTTGTATGTAACTTTGATGTATGATTGTTTGTATTTGAAATTTGTGATACTGAATAATAATTTTTTTTAAACTAAATAGTTAAATATGTATTTTTAAAATTACTTTTATGAACAACAAATATCAACCTATTTAAAAGACCGTTTCTAAGATTTCAAAGTACCTTGAATAAGATTGAGACGCATAAAATAAAAATTATTGCAAAGAAAGATTCCATTTTCAAGCGTAATTCTGTAATTTATGAATTCAATAATAATCAAAAACAACTATCTTTCCTGGAGGAGCAGACAACTTTAAGTAGTTGACACTATAATAAGATTAAGGCCTCAAATATTTGTGTAGGCACAAAAAAAAATGAAGCCGAAGGCTTCATTGAGGCGCGAAGCGCCGATAGGGGGTAGGTGCGGGAAGGGGTCACCCCCCTCCTGTAGCGTGCCTCAAATATATGTGTAGGCACAAAAAAAAATGAAGCCGAAGGCTTCATTGAGGCGCGAAGCGCCGATAGTGGGTAGGTGCGGTAGGGGGTCACCCTCTCCTGCCAGGGGGGTTTGGGGGACCTCCCCCGAGAAAATTTTGAAAAATAGACGCAAAAGCAGCACTTTTGAAGGAAGAAAATTGTTAATTTAAACAAAATAGGTATGCTTGTTAAAGTTATTTAATTGGACATTTTGGGAATTTCACCTATTAAACAGTCAGATCTAGTAAGTTTTTTTAAAGCAAACTCTTATAGATTCCAAAGATATATGTCACCTCAATAGAAGTTGAAAAAAAAAATTCTAAGTAGATTTTTTTTTGGAGACCCTCTCCCCGTGATTTGAATATTCATTTTGGAAACGATTATACATATATAGGCATTTTAATTATTTGTTATAGATTTGAATAAACATTTTCAAAAAATAATATAACTAAGTAATATGTCGTCACTGTTTTGTAGAAACAGATAAATTTTATACACAAGAGAGAGAGAGAGAGAGAGAGAGAGAGAGAGAGAGAGAGAGATGGTCTCAGTCGATTCCGTCGTATCCTGTGTCAAACAAATTTTAAAGTTTTTAAATATACTAGCTAGTATCAGGAACGCTGCTGAGCGAACGGGAAAATGGAAAGAACGTTTTAAGGGTTTGAAACTATGTGTAAGTTTGATACTAAATTTCGGTTTAATTTAAACGACAACAAATTACACAACAGTAAAGTGGTTAATTGGGATTAAAACAGCAAAAGGTTTCTACTTTGTTGTGAGAAACTCGATTTTCTTAATTTGTCAAAGATTGCAGGAATATCCCAGGGCATCTTTGTATGGGGTACTCAGTTTGACTGCTAACGCCACTAAAAGAAACAAGACTGTAAATTATGTTTTACAGCTATAAAATATATATGTACTGAATTTTATTTTTTTGATTTTATTTATTATTGACAAATTAATTTATAACATTGATTTTATTTATTTTTTTTTTAAATATGACCCTATATTTTGCCCAAAATTATGTGTAGGCATTTGCCTTTTTAAGCGGTTAGCTTCGCTAACCGCTTTATGGCATGTGTCCGATTTTTATCGACACCGGAAACTTCCATAAGGCGCTACCTATCGACAACGGAAACGTCAACAAAGCCTCTACCTAGTACCTATGTTTTGTTTCTAACACATATAACATATGTTAAATAAAATTAAGACTATCAAAACAACATAATCTTTCGGTTTTTTAATTTTTTTCTGATTTTGTTTGTCAATGAAATAAATTTATAATTGTTGTATTAAAAAAAGTTTATGTATAGGAGCATTTGGTGTCGAGATTAAATTTCCGTGACGTCAGCTGATGGCGATCGGGCCCTGTGACGAAATTCGAAGTCAGCATGAAGTTTAGCTGATAACATTATCAACGCGTTAGATTTAAACTTTAGGAAGAAATGTATAGCGAGAAATATCATATTTGAACCCAATGCTACACGAAAACCAGTAGGCATTTCCGATTTATGTGTTAAATTGAAGCCTGAATCGAACAGGGGATCAAAATGGCGTTGGACACCTTGTGTATTTATATATAGAGGGGGTAGAATGTTTCGATATTTGACTAATTTAGAGACTTACTGATAAAAATGCAGGTGCTTGTGATTAATTATAGGGCACCCCTCATGAACAATAAATATTTGACCGAATTATGCTACTGGGCACAAGGAGGACGGGTTAATTACTGGCTAAAGGGGTTGAAGGTTACTACCGACTGCAAAACATCGGAGAATCTCTCGATCGAGTTTCATTTTCCAAAATATTAAGGCATCCCTTTAATTAATTTAAGTAATACTAGTACACGAAGAAAGCCTTTATATAAAAATACTGAATACATCTGTAAGTTGTACAGTTATGGATTACTTCCATAATGAAACGTTTGTTTTCTTCTCCTTTTTTTCTCAGTTGAAATTATTTAAAAGATGACAAAAGCTTTGTTTCCAGGGATAAATTCTGTACTCAGTCTAATTATTACAAACGATTTTAAACGATCACATTTTTATTTAAAAAAAATAATGGGAGCCTGAAAATACAAAAATTAAATTTAAAAAATTGGAGAAAAAAATTTAATCGGCATTCGATCCTTTTCTAAAAATCAGCCGATATAAAATATGCACAGAAAAAAGAGGCATGAAAAATCTTGACGATAAGCACAAATTGAAAATTATATCTAATGAATGATTATTTTTGAAAGTTTGCTAAATTCCTATGCAAGGTATAAGTTGTAAAAATACTTTTTGAATTTGAATTTGTCCAGTTTGTTAATTATCATTTTGAGCCTTTGAGAAGAAATAAAAATTAAAATACAGATGCTTACAGACATATTGATAGAAATTCGCATACTTGTTTTCAGTAAAAAAAAAAAACAAAAACAATGTATTGCTTATGCGACATATTGAAGAAAGTGACAATGATACCTAGGTAATTCTTGCAATGGACAATTAAATTGTTTGTTATACACTGACTTTTAGTGAACCTTTGAATTTTTAAAATACTAGTATTGATGGATTAAACAACAACTTTCCTTTTCACAGTTTTTTTTTCAATATTTCATGAAAAAAATATTTGCCAAATACTCAGTATATGTTCGTTTATACATATCGTGCAAGACTCTTTTTTAAAATAATTGTCATATACCATTTACTTATTCGAACATTTAATTGTATGAAAAGTCAATAATGTACATTTCTTAAAACTTTATTATATTGTTTACTTGTCTTTCTTCCTGTGAGAGAAATAGTTCATAATATTAATAAACAGATGTACTCAGTATCTGTATCAAAATACAGAATGAACAGTGATCGGTCTCAAAAGAAAAACGGATCCTTGAAAGTTCCGGTGCCTAGGAGAAGTAAGCATCCCCAGTGACAGGTCACACCTGCTGACCCGCAGTGAGCCTACGAAACTGAAGCTCTCTGAAATTAATTAATTCTCTGCTCGTCCATCCGTTTCTCTCAGACTAGCCAGCTAAAGATCTATGTACAGTACTCCAAATCAATTAATCTAAAGAATTTGAATTATCATTTTATTTTCTTTTTGAGTTGTTTGCTATAGTAGCCTTTACAGTTACCTAATTTCAGAATCAATAGAGCATGAAAGCCAATTAAATTTGCAACATCAACATAATTTTTTTTTTCGTTCTGAGCACTTTTGGACGCCACCAATGGAGACAATTAGGGAGAAATTTTTGAAATTGAACTTCCTGTCTTTCAAACTGAAAATCTCAGGTTGATATTTTGAAACAAACATTTGTGACATCAGTCTGGGATGTTATTGGTTATACCATTTAGTTAAGTACTACAAAATTCAGTGTGTCTGCTTCTTCGCTGATGACATTGGACAAAGATATGCATGCTTACTTTAATATCATCATTCAATGCATTTTTTGTTATTGTACACTGCACATATTCGATGAAAGCATGCTAACCGCTTTTCAGTACTTTCAGTACTTTGATTGCCTTAATGGACGCTACGCCACTGGACTATATCCACCCTCACAATTTTATGGGTTCAAAGTAAAAAAAAAAATGCATTTATTTCCACTAAAAACCGGTACCGTTTAAACAGATTAATAAGTAATTCTAGCGCTCTCTACATTCAGATGGCAGAATTCCCGCCATTTGATCTCATATTTCAGTTGAACCCTTTTGACAAAAAACGAACAAGAACTGGGTAATGCAATTCCATCTGCAGTTTTATTTAAATTTAAGTGATTGTTTTATTCAATAACTAATCAATACATAAAATGAAATATTTTTTCACAATTTTTGCCAAAATTTGTTCTTCGCTTCTGCGATTTTACCAAATATTGCTGTTGCATAGAAAATTCGATTGCCATTTCTTTCGATACCAATTAGTATGTTTTCGGGAGTATGTTCTTTTTGCCACGTAAATATAGTCAACTGATCACCAGCAAGACTCTCCCCCGCATAAGTAATAGTCCATTGTAAGGAGAGGTATAAACACATATCTCTTGTGTAATGTTCATAATACCCATTCAACGAGGCACTCGTCTCTGCGTCCATTCAAAAACGTAAATAGGAGGATTGATTCACGTGGCCATTGTAATCCTCATCACTGTGCCCTGGAATGACGTCATATTTAACAGCATTCTTGGGAATTTCTGGAAGATCTTCTTTTTCAGTACCGGGATGTCCAGGGGTATTCATGAAAGCTGCATACTTTTTGTAGAACCATTCAGGAAATAAAGACAACCGCCTCGTTTTCCTATCTATTCTCACCATTTTTATAATATTTTCTCCAAGGATGTCCTCTGTGGTTTCGTCTTTTAACTCAATAGTAAAAATAAAGGAAGTTTGCTTCAATTGTTTAAGTTTGAAATCAACTTTAAATGTCCTTGGTGATGTGAAACTCACTTTATGCACCTTAGGATCTAAATTCAGCTGTTGCTTGACAAAGGCTAATGTATTGTCTTCGTCCATAAACTCACTTTGGAGAGCTACTAGGCTTGCAGCTTCAAACATTTTGGCAATGCACCAAATAGCCCTGTGTCCTATCAAATTGAAGATTTACACAGCTTTATATATATGATAGTTTTGACTTTAAAACTCAATTAAAATTGAAAAATAAATATAAGGATATATAACACTTGATTAAATCGTAAATTGTTTGCAAACATCACATGATTATGAGTTTTAGAATATTAATATACCGGGTATTAATTAAAATTTCTAAATTTCAAAAACTCATACTCATTTGGTATATTGAAAATTAATATTTTACTTCAAAAGTCTAAATTATCAAATTTCCAAACAGGTTTTAGAATTTTAATGTTTTGGATTTTTGCCTGAAATATTCAAAATTGAAACTAAAAACGATTTTTGCATTCGAAACTGTTGAGTTTTTTTTTCTGCCGTTTATTCAGAAAGTTTACACTTAACTGTCCAAACTTCTGAAACATATTTTGATTATTTAAAATTTACTTTAATCTTCTAAATTTCAACATTCAAACGTTTTAAATTTTTAGAAATTTAGAAATTTGATTCAAACACTCAAATTTTAATATTCTAAACCACTTTACACATTCCGATGGCAGAATTTCTGCCATTTGATCTCATATTTCAGTTGAACTCTTTTGACAAAAGAAACCAGCAAGAACTGGGTACATGGAATGCAATTCTATCTGCAGACATATTTAAATTTTAGTGATTGTTTTATTCAATTATGAATCAATACACAAAATAAAATATCTTTTCACAATTTGTGCCAAAGTATTTTCTCTTTTGCGATTTTACCAAATACTGTTGATGCATAGAAAATTAGATTGCCATTTCGTTCGATAGCAAATTGTATGTTGTCGGGAGTGTGTTCTTTTTGCCATGTAAATATAGTCAACTGATCACCAGCAATACTCTCCCCCACATAACTAATAGTCCATTGTATTGAGGGGTATAAACACATATCTCTTGTGTAATGTTCATAATACCCATTCAACGATGCACTCGTTGCTGCGTCCATGCAAAATCGAATATATGAGGATTGATTCAGGTGACAATTAACATCCTCGTCGCTGTGCCCTGGAATGACGTCATATTTATAAGCATTCTTGGGAATTTCTGGTAACTCTTCCTTTTCAGTACTTGGATGTCCAGGAATATTCATGAAAGCTGCATACTTTTTGTAAAACCATTCAGGAAATGAAGACGACCGCCGCGTTGTCCGATTTATTCTTACTATTTTCATAAAATTTTCTCCAAGAATTTTCCCTGTGGTCCCATTTTTTAAATTAGTAACTATTGTGAAGGAAGTTTGTTTCAATTGTATAAGTTCTACATCAAAGTTTAATTTCATCGCTGGTGTTAAACTCGCTCTTTGTAACTCAGGATCTAAATTCAACTGTTGCTTGATAATGGCTAATGCATGGTCCTCGTCAACTCTTTTTTCTATAGTCCACGAACCCAGCAAGAAGTGAGAACAAGCGTGCAGCTTCAAACATTTTGGAAATACTCCAGACAGCCCAGTGTCCTATTCAAATTGAAAACGGTTTGCATAACTACAGGTAAGCTGGTTTCATTTGTATAGCATTTTAAAAAATATTTGAATTTATGTTAACATCTCACAGTTTATTATTTTTTTTTATGGTAATACAGCACAATTATTAATAAGATCCAATGTGTGCCATTTAATAAATCTTGTATACCCTTATGCTCCGACGTTATAATGTTAACATCATTATTAAAAAGATTTAATAATTTATAAAAAGATTTAGCAAAATTTCAATAATGATATTTCTTATAAAACAAATCTAACCTGTTCTGTCGATATCGGAGTACGGAATCCCTATAAAAGTCAGTGAGGCTGTTGGCCCACTAATACTGGTAATCCTCGACTGAGACATTTTGTCGGATTGGATTTAGCAACACCTATATAGTCTGTCAGAAATAAAAAAGAAATAACTAAAATAACTATATTACATTTTTTTTATTTTTATGATTTTTATTATTTAGATCTATATAATTTCTAAAACCGACAAAAAATGCATTCCAAAGAACAAGGTGAGCAGGGTCTGAAATATTACTTGAGTATAGGTGTTACAACAGTATTTTGTTTATGGATCTATTCTGCATAAAATGCTGAGGTGTCACACATTTTTACGGAAGTCTTCTGGTTTTATCAATCGAAACATGCATGCACACACATATTACTCCACTTATACCCCATACCATTTCATATATTTACATTTTAAATCTTTGTGTATTGAAAATTCTTTTAAGAAATATTTTAAAAAGTTCAATTTCATATTAAACGTTTTAATAGTGAAAAAATCTATTTATTGTCTATGAAAAGCTAAGTCAGAAGCGTTTGAGGTGCAGACAGGGGTTAGACAAGGCTGTTTGTCGTCAACAATGACGTTTCTAGTGGTAGTGGACTGGATCATGCGGGAAACAACTAGAGATAGCAAGAGAGGAGTCCAGTGGAATTTCACTCAGTGTTAGGAATACCTCGACTTTGCATACGATCTCTGCCTTATTTCCCAGAAGTATGAGCATATGCAGCTCAAGACATATAGGCTTAAAAGCTTGCAAAGGAAGAAGAGCAAAGACAGGTCTATAGTTGAACAATGACAAGACAGAGGTAATGCGACTCCACAACAAACGGCTAACACCAATCACGGTTGGAGAACACAACCTGAAAGATGTAGACTCCTTTACATACTTCGGCAGCATCGTCAAAGCCATTGGTGGAACAGATGAAGACATAAAAGCAAAAATTATTAAAGCGAGTCACGTCTTCATCAACCTCAAGCCTGTGTGGAGTTCAACAACACTGTCCACACGCATAAAACTTCGTATCTATAACATCAATGTTAAGTTTGTGCTCCTCTCTACTGGTCTGAAACATAGAGAGTCACCAACACCACCTCCAAAAAACTACAAATCTTCGCAAACAGATGTCTGCGCCACATAATAAGCATCAAGTGGCCAGAAAATATAAGCAACAAAAACCTGTGGGAAACAACAAATCAAGACCCAATCACTGAGCAAATACCGTAAATCTGGAAATTTTTACTGTAGATAAATTTTTAGCAAATTTGCGCGTGCAATGCATTCGCAAAAATATTTTTCTTAAAAATAAATCAACATGTAAAGAATTTTTTTTCTGAAAGTCGGTGTCTATTTTTAACTCAGTGAATAGGCGTCGGTAAGCACTGGTCATTTTTAAAATGAAACCTGTTTTAATTACTGTAACTACAAGCTAATTACCATACATGTAAATTGCCCTCATTATATGTAATATCGTCCGATGGTTTCACAAGCACTGGACGGTGTGTCCCTTTTTAATAATTTTGCCAAGAAAGAAAGACCAGTTATTTTATCCAACCATGTATCAACACGGGCGATAACTCGAGCTCAGTGCTTTTACTAGAGAGTTCCAAATGTAAACACGGCGTGTTAATTTTAGGTGAGAAAAAAACCAAACGTTGAGAAAATTATTTATATTTTTTTCTTGATTTGGATTATATTTTAGGTTAAAAGACATAAACAACCTCTAAAAGGTTTGTTATAATTAATTTAGAAGTTATTTTCAGTGCAAATCCTTTTGTATTTTTATCTTCAAAATTGTTTCGGAGTGATTCTGCAATTTCTTGCCACGTTGCGAGTATATTGGTGGTATTCTAACTGTGCATACTAATTGAAACATAAACTGATATGAAAATCTTAAGTGATTTTTATTTTTAGGGCCAGTGACAATTCGCAAAATTTTAAAGCGTAAAAATTAATCAATAGCCTTTTGACCCGAATTCGCAAAAATAAATCGACGT